ACAACAGCTGAAGCAACAATAACAATAAGCAAGCAACAACAAAAACAAAAGCAACACCGACAACAGTTACACTGCGACGCTCAGACCAAATGGCAAACTTCAATTAAAAGTGAAATAAAGAAAGGTAAAAGCAAAGCAAAGGTCATACGAGTACGCAAAGAGAACTTGCTGGGAGTTGTCAACAAAAATTATTGACGTCCAAGAAGGGCCCATTTTGTTAATATAGTTTGATTTGCTGCTGGTAGAAATTAAACGTAAAGCTAATTAAATTAATTGATCTGCAACTATAAATGATTTCGACAAAAACTATGTATTTTTATTAAACAAAAGTAAATTTTGTTTCTCTCTTTTTTCAATTAAAAGTGAAAGAGAGAAAGGTAAAAGGAAAGCAAAGGTCATACGAGTACGCAATGAAAAGTTGCTGGAAGTTGTCATCCAAAATTATGAACGCACAAGAAGGGCTATTTTGTTAATATAGTTTGATTTGCTGCTGCTAGAAATTAAACGTAACGATAATTAAATTAATTGATCTGCAACTACAAATGATTGCAATTAAAATTATATTATTATAATTATACATTTATTTGCTATAATTTGGGTTCACTTCAAAAAGAAAAGTCAATTTTTTGTTACACGCTTTTTTCAATTAAAAGAAAAAAGAAAGGTAATATGGCTGGGAGTTGTTATCAAAAATTATTGACGCACTTTGTTAATATAAAGATAACTAAATTAATTGATCTGCAACTACAAATGATTGCAACTAAAATTATATTATTATAATTATACATTTATTTGTTATATGTTGGGTTCACTTCAAAAAGAAAAGTCAATTTTTTGTTACACGCTTTTTTCAATTAAAAGAAAAATGAAAGATAAAAAGGACGCACAAAAAGGCCTGTTAATATAAAGATAACTAAATTAATTGATTTACAACTACATATAATTTCAACTAAAACTATATTATTATAACTATGCATTTATTTGTTAAATTTTATGTTCACTTTAAACAAAAGTCAATTTTTTTTTCTCTCTCTCGGTTTTTTACAAACCAGCCTGCAGCTCAAAGTCACACCTGCAGAAAATCCGGGTCTTGCAAGCGAAAACCCTTCGCCTCCTAACAGATGCCCCCTGGTACATGAAAACGGCACACATAGAAAGGGATCTGGGGGTGAAAAAAGTTGGAGACGTGCTAAATAAGCAGGCTGAGCAATACATGGAGCGTCTGCGAACCCATGTGAATGTATTAGCAAGGCGCCTGCTGAAACGGCGACGAAAAGGAACAAGAGTAATAAGAAGGAGGCTGAAGAGATCACACCCTGCCGATCTTCCTAATAGATTTATTTAATATAAGATTAAATAAATAATAATTAAATGATATAAATAATTAAATAAGACTGAACTCCTAGTTTAAGTTGTATTTGTATATTTCTATAAGTTTAATTTAAGTTGTTGTAAATAATAACAGGAAAATTAAAGTATTATCATATAAAAAAAAAAAAAAAAAAAAGCCTGCAGCTTTACAACTGAATAGTTTGCTTAATTACAAAGCAGCACACTTAACTGAGTGTCAGTTTACAAATTACAGCCATAGGATATATATGATAACGGGCATTGGGTAATCACAATAAAAGGAAATATAACGAACTGCACAGGTCGGCTTCGATTTCAAAGGTTGCGATTAATTACGCATGCATTCCTTTCTTTGAGCTTTAATATAATAGCAAGGAAGCAAAGAGACTAGCCTATTAAAGAAGCTGTTACTAGACATACCATTACAATATTATCGTATTCGCCATTTATTGAACTGCTAACAACTTAAAGCTAGCAATCGAATTTCAGATTAAATTAAATGCCTTTACTTAAATCTAAGCTTCAAACAAATGCTTGACTAATAACTAAATCCAAAGCTTGAAATGTCCATGCAATACATTTAATAAATAATAGTTCTGCCGGTTATTTTCTCTTGAGAATGGTAGGGACATGGCTAGTCTGGTTAGAGGCGTAGCTGCTTGTTAGGCAAATAAAATCTCCCCCACCGAGTCGGATTCGTTATCAGATAATTTTGTAATTTATATAGGCTTTTTATTTCTTTCGTTTTATTTAGTTTAAGTTCTCTTTTGTATGGAATCTTTTTTACATCGACAGCTTTGTTTGTCGATGAAATAAGTGAATAAATAAATAAAATAGGGCTGGATATTTCTACGATTCCATGCTGTAGCTCCAGGTTGGCACAATAATAGTGCAGTACAGTATCCTTTTGCAAAGTTGTGGCAATGGTGTCCTGCCAGCCAGTAGTCATTTAAGTTTGGCTAATTTGCTTTGGCAGTTGGAAACTGTGGCAATAATTTGCGGCTTGAAAGTACGCCTTTGGTCGAGTTTTGTGCCTAAGTACTTGGCGTCCTACTGATGCTGCAGCACCTCATCATTAAGCCAGACAGCAGGTACTACTCCTCTCCTCAGTCCTTTACTTTGCTGGGTTCCACATGCGAATCCAGCTCTTTAGCAGGCTAGCAGAATTCATATGGACTGATAATGTGGCTGAAATTTCGCTGTAGGGCTATTCGATTGACAGTTTTGTAAACTTGATAATTGCACAAACTAGCTTGCATACGCGTAGTTAATTTAATATCATCAGCGATTGAAGCTTCAAAAGGCTTCGGTTAAGTTGTTGGCGCTCAGACAAGACCAAAGTATTACAATAAAATGATTAAAAAAAAGCTTATAATTTCATGAAGATTCCTTGCCAATTGTTGAGAAACTCTGATTAAACCAAAAGCTGATTCAAAGGCGATTTCATTTCATAAGGGAGATAGGATTTACTTTAATTTCTTGATAAAAATTATTACAATAAAATGATAAAGCTGGCGAATATGCAGAATTTTGAACAAGCCAACATTTATATTAAGATTTCTAATATAAAGTTAATAATTTCATGAAGAAAACTTTGATGAAACCAAAAGCAGATTCAAGGGCGCTTTCATTACATAAAGAAGATAGGAATTACTTAAATTTTTTGATAAAAAACGTTACAATAAAATGATAAAAAAGTTAATCATTTCATGAAGATTTGAATTTTGAAAGACGCTGGTTAAACTAAAAGCAGATTCAAAGGCGTTTTCATTTCATAAAGCAGATATGTTTTACTTTAATTTTTTGATAAAAAGTATTACAATAAAATAATACTAACTGCACTTAATTGGCTATCGGATATGTTCCTAAATCCATAGCGTAAAAGCAAAATAATGTAGCCAAGTTTGTGGCAAGTGCGAGCCCGAAAGCAGGCAGATGTCCCACATACACATGTACGTATTATTTACCCAACACGTTCTACAGCTAGAACAACACGTACTCAATTTTGTTACACAGTCACACTACACTCTACACACACACACACTCATACACTCTCATACACACATAAGGGGACAGCATAACATTTGTTAATGTTTGCGTTTTCATGCCCCCAAAACGTACTCGCAGAGCAACAAATGTAGAAAGCAATGTCTGTTTGCCTTGTTCGCAGCGTATATATACAAGTATATATATGTGTGTGTGTGTGTGTCTATAAGAGTTTGTGACTGTTTGCAAAACACATGCACAGCGAATACTGTCTGCTGCAAAACCAATAAATTACAAATACAATCGTATACACATATCTCAGTAGAATGAACAAAAGAAAGGCAAAATAACAGCCAACGTGCAAAAATTTAAAATTGCTCGAAGGCTCGATATTCGTCGCTAAAATTGTGTGAGCGCGGTATTCCAGTCATATTGTGTATTTACAAATATTTATATGTTTACTACTTACATCAGTATCTGTATACCTGAAGAGAAGGTCATAAGCCCAGTCATGTTATGTGCCGCGGCCTGTCACAACATTTTTTACACTTGTACCCGGTGTGTGTCTGTCTAGGTGTCTGCGACTCTTACTTCTGCTGAGCTAGCATTTCCGCTTACTCTGGAAATCTTGGGCAATATTTATTGCTTCAAAACGTGTAATTTTAATTTTGTTGAAAATCTGATGGCACTATGCATATGTTTAAAAACTCACAATTCTATTCTAGTTTAATGGTAAATGTAATTTATTTGTTTTTTATTCATTTACTGCAGCTAAAATAAGTATAATAACAAATTAACTGCTAGCTTATATGTTAACAAAATGCACAGATCGGCAGCAGATATAGTCTTAAAAACACACATGTCTTGAAATAACTACATATACCCAGAAGAGTGCAAAAACAAAAACACCCACCATTTACATCTGATTTTTTGTATTACCAGAGAACCCTTTTGTTGCCATTCCCTGCTTCTTTAGTATTCTTGATTTTCCAAGGATTTTCCAAGGATTTTCGTAACAAAATAATGCCTCATTTTTTATCTATATCTTTACACCCAAACAAAAGCAAAAATATATTGTACTAGCGCTTTTTACGGGTTTAAATGCATTTTTTAGAGAAGACACTATTTTGTGTCAGTTTTCATACGATTAGAATTATCTATGACCTTTAGCTAAATATATGTCTCAAAATTAGAATAACATTTAACATTTAATTATAATTTAACTGAGAACGCATGGCACTTCATCATAAATACTTACATTTTGATAAATTATTTGATAAATTAGAATGACGATCTTGACAGATTCAAGAAAAATCGAAGAAGGATTGGAAAAAGTTTTGGCTTTAAAGGCGATAAAATAGACTTTAATGAATAAGGAAATATTTTGAAAGTTGAGAGTTATATATACAAGTCCGGGTCAGATTTTTACAGATTTGTATTATGAAAAATAATAATTTATTTAGTTTAAGGCCTACATTTTTGTTCTCCTGCAAATTTAACTTTGCAGCTGAGCTGATAATTTACTATATGTTAGTTTTTAATGCACTATTCCTAAAATTAAACGCAGAAAAGTTCAGCATATATAAAATCTTATTGCAGCTGTGATTATAAATAAGTACAAACAGTAGGCCTGGCAGCACAAGTACATGTTCATTATCGACTGCCGGCTTATGTGTTGTGAATAGTGTCAAAAAATAGCGGCACTGCGTGCAATTGGGACAAGGACAAGGACAGATACATGGCGAAGAGTCTTGGACACGAAGCCAGAGCCTGCTATTTGACCAGACCAAGCATGCACACCAAGTCAACCTATTCTCTGAAGAATTTGTTCAAAAAAATGTATATAACAGATGCTAGTCAAAATAGGTAAACTAAATTTCGGCTTTATTCGTATATTTCGGCATGCTCTTACCACTTGAAAATTCAAACAGAGACAGGGACCGTGATCGTGATCGTGATCGGGACCGTGACCGTGACCGTCGCCGAGGCAATGCCAACACCGGCAACACCAAAAAAACCAGCGCTGGTGGCAGCTCGCACTCGATTTGGTCGGACCGCAGTGGGCGCCAACAATCTACCTCCGGATCGCGCGGAAAGGGAGAGGGTCGCAACAGTGCGGAAGCCACACGGGAATTGGAAAACCTAAATCGAGAGTTCCAACGCGACATTCGCAGGCTGGAGCAGTCCATTTGCAACATGGACTTTCGCGAGAAGTCTGTGGCCACCGAATGGATAGCCAAGCTGCATGATGCCAATCCTAATTTGAGAGAGGCACGCGCTCGCAATGACATCCTCAGCTATTTGCTCAGATGTGTGGACGAGAATGTTTTAATCGAGAGCCCTTTAACAAACCCCCACCGCTCAGCAGTTTGGCGAGCATAAAGGCTTCAATGGTAAACATCTTATTAAACATAATCAATAATGGAAACTATGTAACGACAATATTCTGCAGCCCTTGAGCAAGAACACTGTATGCATGATACCCAACGAGCTGGATAAGCAAAAATATCTCACCCAACTATATAATGATTCGTACGATAGTGGCGATTTTTTGTCCCAATTGCCTGTGCCGCGGGATGGAGCTTTCTTTGTGTTGCACTTACGTCCCAACTTGTAGAGTTTTGTGCGCCTCTATAGCTGCCAATTTCTGATTGCTAGAAGTCAATACTACAAATTCCAAATTAAACAAAAGTTACGCGTGGTAAAAAAAAAATGTTTTTTTATATAATGTGCTATATACTTGTATACTTAGTATTGGAAGGTATTAGCTTTTAAATTAAGCAGAATGGAGATAGGAATTAGGGTAAGCGTAGCTTTCTAAATTTAATTGTAACTAGAATTTGGTGGACAATTTAATTTTTAGTTGAGTTTACACTCAAAATCTGCCCTACATAAAAGGGAATACATTAAAAGCTCAGAAACACATCTACCTCCCTAACAACTTTTATCCTCTTTGCATACCTAATTAAAATTCATACTATATTATATTTCATTTAATTTAAAAGTGATTTATTTAATTTATTAACCTTTGCATTATTTTTATACAAAAGCCAGTGTCTTAGAGAGATCTAGGTAATGCAGTTTAAAGCATTCTTAGTATATTATATTATAGTTTATCCAACAACAAATACAGAGCATGCCCTATATAAAGGGAAAACAATAACAGCTCACTAACAGATCTATCTCCCTTTCAGTTTTTGCTCTTTTCGCATACCTTAAACTTAAAATTTATATTATATGCATTTTTATTTATTTTATTTAAAGGTTATTTATTTAATTTATTTTATCAACGTTTTATTTTATAATATAATAAATAAATTTTAAAAAAATGCTTGTTCTTAATGTAAATCAAGAACACAAATACTAAGCACAAGGCCCAACCTCTCTATAAGCTTAAGTTTTATTTTTATGAGTGTATAAGAAGAAGTTGTTTCCCAATTCTCATTAATTCTTTCTACATTATATTCGCTATCATAGTGGATTATCATCTACCAATATAATCCGACTAGAAACTCTTATGAAAGCATATTATTTCGCACAAGCACTAACAATATCCAATGCCATAATTCTGTTAACCCTAATGTCAGACTCATTTGCACGTCTGGCAACTTCACAGCTCGTCCTCACAGCAAATGTCCTTCCATAAACTTGCGCAATTAGTAGTGAACTGGCTCAATGAGACCACAAAATGTTGATGAGGTTGGGCAAGGCAGAGAGCCAAGCCAAAAAACCTTGTTGAAATTGTTTTTATATTGAACTTTGGATTGGCGCACACGCCAGAGGAAGGAAGCATCAGTTGCGTGCTCAAATTTTCATAGCATACTTATCTGCGCATTATGCAAATGCCAGACACTTGAAAACTTCATGCTGTTCAGTTAAACAATAATTTTTAATGCCTGTCATTGCAATTCGTTACATTGATTTCTGGCACGCCCAACACACATACACATACACACACACTCACACTCACGCAGAGCACAACTGCATGAATGCTTTCCGCCTCGCTGGACTTATCTTAATGCGCTGACATTCTATTCAATTCCGTTGTCATTTTTATTGCAATTAATTTATGGCCAGAGCGCATGAACGAGCACATGAATAAATGTCACAAATGCAAAGCGCATTCATCAATCAATATTCGATTTATATAATGAAATTATTATTATTGCTGTTTGGTTCTGTTTTCCTTGTTTTCTGTTTTACATTTGTTTTTGTATTTGCTTTTTTGTTGCCCACATCATGTTTGCTGCTAAATCCTTATTTAATTGCTTTTTACGTGATTTATATCAGACATGGTCACCTCACTCATAATCCACCCAAAGGAATGAAACCAACTAACAACGACGAGAAGCTGCTGACTGGATTTGATGTGAACCTGGACGTTGTGGCACTTGTATGGGGCGAGTATTTCTGCTCACCACCACTTGGAGCTAACACATAAACTCATAAATAGGCAGCCACACAGGTATGTTGCTTTACACACACTAGTGGTTACAATTATTTTTACTAAGTGGCTTGAGGGTAGACTACAAAACAAGTGTAGTTTGAAAAAGAAATTACATTTAAGGAGGATTTTGAAGTGGCACAAGCAAAAGTTTTATATAAATTAGTTACTAATTAAAAAGGCATACATATAGTTCAAAGTAAGCTCTTTAATAATTGTAAGTAAAAAGTAAAGTAAGAAGTTTAAATTTCTTTATATTTCACTGTTGCAGACCCTTTCTGGAATTATCTTTGGCCACAATTTTGATGCTGAATATTATAACATTTATATTATATTATAAATATTATAAGTATACTTACAGACATACAATTTACTCATTAATTAGTCTACAAAAAAAGTGTTGTTTGAAAATGAATTACTTTTTAGGACAATTTTTAAGTAGTACTAGCCAAAATTTTATATTAATTAGTTAGTAATTAAAAAGGCATACTACATGCAAATAAGTTTAAAGAAAGCTCCTTAAGTGTTCTAAAGTAAAATGTTTAAATATCTTTATATTTCATTGCTGCAGACTCTTTGAAGAATGATCTCTGGCCATACTTTTGATGCTGAATATTATAAATATATACTTACGACAATTAGGGCCATAAATCACATATTTTTTTCAAAATACAATTTAAGAGAGTCGCGGCTGCTGTACTGACAAAAGCCGTGATCAGCCTGGAAAATATTTGAGTTGTACCATCACGTATTCCCTGTTGTATTAGCCCCAAACCGACTTTAAAATAAGCTACCTTTTAAGACTCAAATGCGAGCTGCCTCCAAATCCTATTAGTTCTGTTAAAGAGACTCAACACTTTAGCATATCAGTGGAATTTTATTTAATAATGTCAAAATACGTTCTCACTCTGGTGTTATCATTTATATATGTATGTGATGTGGGTAAGTATTTATGTATTTTTGTTTGTACATTTCACTGCCACTCACATAAAATATGAGCTGACAACACTTCTTTGCGAAGCAAATTGTGGCAAACTCCGAACTGGAGCTCTGGTTTCATGCCTGCAGCACGCAATTCTGTCAGACATTCAGTCAACACTCACTTAAATACACACACACACACACACACACACACACATGTGTGGACTCTCTTATGTGTGCGTCTGTCTGCCTTATCGGATGTGTTAATTACAAAAAAAATGGCGAACATTTTGTATTATTTACTTTCTTATCAAGATTGAGCCTTAGATTATTGTAGTTGCTTTTTTCTACGCACACCTATGTTTACAAATGTGGAGGTATGTTGTGTTGCTTTCTGTTTTCTAATTTATTTGAGTTGCTTTTTGAGTTCGCTTTTGTTTAATTTTTAAAACGCTGGCTTAGAACATTTTCAAAATAAGAAACAAGCAGACTGTGGCTTTAAAAACTGATATAAAAAATTATATATCTGTGATAAATGTAAACATAATACAGATTTCACTTCAGAAACTACCATTTCTACACAAGAGTCTCAGCTTAGTTTTGTGTTACATAAATATCTAATATATTACAAGTATAAGACAAATATTTCTGATGAGAATCTTGAAACTAGATAATTTATAATTAACAACTACAGCATCCTCTAGTTGCTACGGACTTTTGGTATTTTATGATAATTTGAACAACAACTGCTTCTACTTCTTCAGCTGGCAGCTAGTAGAATAACATTATGGTCTAACTAGATTTTATGAAATGCAAATTGTTTCTCAATTTATTCTATTATTCGGTAAATATTATCAAGTAAGCTTTTTACTCTTTTGCATTGACAAGCATCAAAACTTTGCGCAACACAACAAAAGCTAAATGAAAGTTTTGTTATTACTGCTCTTGCTTTTATTACTGTAGTTGCTGTTGTTGTTGTTGTTATTGTTGTATTAACAGGTGCGACAGCAACAACAGAACAACAACAACACCACCACCACCACGACCACCACCACCATGAACAACAATGTCGAAAACAACAGTCGCGTACACAGACTGTCAAAAAAGTTTATTGTGTAGCTGCTGCTTTATGTTTTATTTGCATGGCATTGTTGTTGTAGTTACTATATTGTGTTCAATGTTTTCAGTTTTTCTTTGTTGTTTTCACTTTTCCATTTTGCATTGCATAATATTTTTGGAAATATGCATACTACATTCGTGTTATTGATTTTAGTTAGTTAAAAAGTTTCTTTTGCCGAACAAAACTTAGCAGCAACATTGAAAATTCGGAACAATAACATTTACCACAATGTTGCCGACTGTCGGACAGCTTGTCAACGCATCGTTAATTTGCATAGAAATACATAATTAGCAGAACATTTTGAATAGCCTCTGCTATATGCACTTTCTATGGCGACCCCCATTCCTTCAATGGCTCTTTAGTTGGCTGCTTGCAGGCAACTTTAAAAAAGTTCAACGCGAGCAAAATAAAGAAACTTAACTAATTAATTAGCGCTTGTCTGGACCCTCGATGCCCAGCACCTTTCACTTTACGGCAACTCCGTGAGGGTGACGCTTTTTAAAATATTGTGGAAAAGGGTTTAGGGTATGGGGTGGTGGGAAATGAGTAGAAAACATGCCACCAACTGACCAAATGACCTCCTTATCTATCCTTTGCAATTAATTAATCCAGCTCTGAATGCAGTTAGCCCCATGAACTGCAGAGCGCTCTCAGTATCACATCTCAAAGCTATTTTCAAAACATATACATACAAACAGATAATTGAAATTTAATGTACCAGCTTATTAGGAAATTTTGTCCTGTAGCCAGCGATTGAAGGATGAACTCTACAAGTTTAAATTGCACAACCAGACACTCGTATTGGTCTGTCATTGTAAGAAGTCAGAGCAGCCTACATAATAAACAGTCTATTAGTAAGTTGGTAAAATAAAGCTGTGGAAAAGAATAACTAACAACCATTTTTTTACTACTTAATAATAGTAATACTAAACTTTAACATAACGTTCATCAATTTTATTTCTAAAAACTATTTTCCAAAAAGTGGGAAAGAAAATATTTTTTTTAAAATAACAAAACCAAAAAAAAAGGTTAATTATAATAATTTTTGCACAAAGTGCGAACTTTTTAAATAAATACACGATGTTTCTGATATCAATTTCATGATTTCATGCCACACGTATCAAATACTTTAGTTAAAAATGGTCATAATTAAACAAAAAAATATAACAACATATTTTTAAAAAAATACCAAGCAAATGAAACTGAATTTGAATCCTGTTTG